GCAGAGTTTCGCATTTGGGGTTTTCACCAATCATCAGAGTTTTGACAGGTTACACATTAATTGTTCATTAGAGTTTCGACAGTCATTAAGAGGTTTTGCCCACAACCTTAGTAACACTTCACAAATCAAGTGAGACATAACTTGTCTGTGATATATGTACAATATTTGCAGGAAATTGTGGAAATTATTAGTTAAGATGTGAGAAATACCATCTTCGCAGTCAAGTATCTCAAAGCTAAAGCAAAACACTATGATACCGATCTTTGAATCGTGACTTTACTGTTTGGTTAACCAAGATCTCCCAGATCCTCGCTAGATCAAAAGTTAGATATGAACTAAAGTTTGGAGTAAGGTCTACACATATGCACACAATTTATTTGAGTTTAAATATTTTTTTTTATTTTGAAATTTACCAATCTTTAATTAAATCAAAAGCATTTTTAAAGTCTAAAGCTATTATTTGTTCTTCAGTTATATCTTCCTCCACCTCTTCATCATCTTCTGTTATGCAGGATTCATCATCTTCTGTTATGCAGGATTCATCATCTTCTGTTATGCAGGATTCATCATCTTCATTCAACAACTCATTCAAATTTTCTTTTCGTAGTCTTTTTATGTAAGAAGTTACGTTGGAAATTATACCTTCTTTATAAAATTCCAAGCAATAGGTACATTGATTTTTTTTTATTTCATAACAATTTTTGTGGAATGCATGACCACATATTAACATTATTGCATCTTGATCATAATTATCTTCAAAATTAGAATAACAATAATCACATTTATTATAAGATGGTGGTTGCTGGGTATGATATCCTGTTGGAATACACTTTGATTTGACTTCTTTATTTAATGTTTTTAAGTAATATTCTTTGTTGCTAAGTTTTTTACTTCCTCCCACATTTAGATAAATTTTATGAAAATAATCAATTAAGAACAAACTTGTTTTATATTTAAGAAAATTAAACATGGATTCTTTGTAAGGGCATTTTTTCAATTTTTTAAATGTGTTGATAAATGATTGATCCTGAGCATCTAATACTAATGCTTGTAAAGTTATTGCTTCAGCTGAATATTGTGTGGACTGGTATTAGCTCTAATTTTACTATGCCAATTTTCAACATAGTAGTCATTGAAATTAACAAGTTGAGATTGAATTGCTTCAAGAAATGGATGGTTGTTGTCTTTCCAGTAGAAATAATCGGAAAGAAAGGCAAGTGGTATTTTATTATAATTTTTCCATTTCCATCTTAAAGCAAAGCTCCATAATCTAAAAATTGTATCTATGTATTCTTCAAAAGAACCTAATCGAAAAATAATAGCATAAATGTCCAATGCAGCTGGAATCAAATTATCCAAAAGATATATCATTGTTTGATATTCCAAATCTTTACACACACCACCAAATTTTTTATATATTTCTGAAGAGACTTCAATCCAGGCAGACCTAAGAAGTTCAAGGAGTTGATTTATTCTCCAGCGCTTGGGTTTTGCTGCCAACACTTTATTAATTCCAAAGACTGATTTATACATTATTTCAAAAAAGTTCCAATGCACAACCACTATATTTTCCCTCATGTTCAATGAGACATGTAATGGACCAAGAATTGGAACAAAATTATTGATTATTGAAGGTATTTGGTGAAAATTATTATTTTGCTGATTTTGATGTTTATGAAGAAGGGTTATTGCTTTACGTATAAATAATTGGCCTGGGAAGTCTGCAATAACTGTTATAATATTATTTTGTAGGTAATTATTTAAAGAAGGAATTCAAGTTATCATTTTAAGAGCATTTAAATAATCATCCAAATTTTTTAAATTTAATTCTTTGATATCAACTAAATGGCAATTTTTCATAGATCTATCATCACAAAGACTTTCTATGGCATAATTATATGAATGAATTGACAAAAGATCTAGTCTATCAAATTGTTCAAAGGTAGTTGCATTATTTCTCAGCCAACTATGTTTTACTGCATTATAACTTATACTTAATGAACTAAAATATTTATCATTTAAATATTTAATAATCCTATCTGCTTCAATATTTTTAGGGTTATGTACTGGAATGCCATCAACATATGCTGGTACAGCATTACTATCTTTTACAGTTTTAGAAACACAAGTAGCCATATGACAAGCTGTTGAAAGCGTTGTTGTGTTGGGATTTCTGTAACCATGGATTGAATGGTAATCATCTATATTAAAACAAAATAGTTTACTTGCATTCTCTTCAAAATAATTATTAATTTTTTCTTTATGATTACTAGAAATTTTCTTCTTATGTCTATCTAATGTTTTATAAGACACTGAAATTCCTAATCTTGACATTATATCAATACATTCTACAGTTGCACCAGAAGCAGATAAGTAGAGTCCTATTTCTAACTGAAGTGAATTATTTCGTTGATTTTTTAATCCAACTAATAAGTAACAGAATCCTACAAGTGATTTTTTGGCATTTTCTATACTATATTATCTCCAGACTTTTTAAATGATAAGAAGATGTGAACCAACTCATCAAAAAAACCTTTTAGCTCTGGCTCATGTTGCTCAATCATATTTTTGAAATTTTCTGGATCCAATTCAACATCTAAATTTAAGTTTCTTTGCCTTATGTATAAAGGATCAGATAGTAATTCAAATTTATTACGAAATTGATTTAAGTACTCTTTATTATTTTCATATTGATTAACCTTTATTTGCATTTCTTTTATTTTATTCATTAGGCAATCAAAATCATTTCTAGATAACAATACTGCATCATCTTGAACATCAACATCTATATTTGACCAATTGTCTAGGTTTATTTGATTATCATTAATTAAGTTTCCTAACAATTCAGATAATTTGAATTCAGTGTTTTAGTATCAACATCTTCTATAATGTCATCAATTTCAATAATATTATTATCATCTTCAAAATCTTGTGACTTTCTTTTTTGATTATTTGATTTATTTCTACTTGATTGTACAATTGATAAGTAATGTTTAGGACAAAGTTGATCATTAATTTCAAGGTAATTATAATCCTCATATGTGCCATGATTTTTAGCATTTTTTAAACCATCTTTGGTGAATCTTCTAAATTTAACATCTTTTGCTTCACAATTTAAAACATTGCATGGGCCTAAATTTTTAGTAGTCATTTTATTGGTTATAAAAATATTAGTTAAGAAAAATGGGGATTTAAAATTGGTTTTTTGTTTTTTTATTTTTTTTTTTTAATTTTTTTAAATAAATTTTTATAAATAAATTTTTATTAATTTTATGT